TGATAGTAGAGATTTTGAAGCTGGTTTATATAAGTCTGCATAAATGTTTTGAAGTTCTTTGATTTCTTGGTTGCTTATATTGAGTTCAAAATTTTTTTTTTTTTATATTTTGCATTTAAGATTAATGGCTTGTTTGTAATTTATTTGAAGCATTGTTGATGTAAAAGAAATATGGATTGTGTTAGTTGTTGAGTTCATAATTTAATATTTTTAAAATAGTACTTAAGAGTTAGATGTATTGGTTATTTTGCCAATATGCCAATCTGAAGATGAAATATAAAGCAATCATGTATTTTTTGAGATAACAAATTAGAGTGTAATAAGATTTAATGTATTTAAAAATGAGTTGGTAGATTGAAGTTAAAGATTAGGCCATATGTGCAAAATAGAATGGTCAGATATTTGGTTTAAGAGTATTTTAAACCATTTTGGGATAGGACCTCATAAAGGTTTGAGAGTTCTAAGAAATATATTTTTCCAAGAAGGTTGAGATTATTAGCTATAAGTAATTATTCTAAGAAAAGAATTCTATTGTTTTTAAGACTTAGTGTTGTTAAGTTGTTAGGAGTTGCAATAAATTTATAAATGTTGTTTAGTTAGTTAATATATTTATAATTGTTAATTAATTTAGGTAAGTGTTGTTAATAGTGATATTATTTTTGTATAGATGATAAAGTTGAGATATTATAGTGTAGTTGGTAGATTTCCTATAGTTGGTTAGAATTGTATCCTGAATTAAAGATGTTTTCAAATTTTAAAAAGCCAATCCTTAACCTAGTATATAGAGATTTGGTTTAGTAGTGTGTTAGTATTGAAGCATCTTTTTATGTTACTGCTGCTAACTTGTAGTATAAGTTTGTTGAATGTTGAAATATTGAGTAGTTATGGATTGGTAAGTATGTCATTGTTTGTATTAATAAATAGATATAACATATGTTTAGTGCATTTTGTTAGAAGACTTGATAGTTGTTGGAGTTTATTTTGTAGAGAACATATTTGAAGTAAATATTCAATTGATAGTAATAAGATAGCATTAAACAGTCAGGATATTTGTATAGAATAAAGTTTTTTATATTAAATAGTATGAATAAACTAAGAAGTTTTGCTAAAAATTTTTCAAGTATGGATTTAGTTAAGCCTTTGCCATCTAAAAAAATTCCTAGATATCTTATTATTTCATTAGGTTAGTAAGATAAAATTGGTTTATTGTTAAAATTTAGAGGTGTTATATTGAAGTATTATTGAATAATATTTTTTTATTAGGTGGGATGTAAATAAGATCTGATTTGGATAGGTTAACTTGAATATTGTTTAGTTGGTATAGTTCAGATATGTCATCTAGAATCTCTTGCAAATCATTTTTAGATTCACAATGCCAAACTGTATCATCCATAAAGGCAAGAGATGGTATTCTTATATGAGTTGGTGTAGTTGAAAAAATTGTTTCTAAGAGGAATTGTGATGATATTTTGAGAAGTTTTGAGTTGTATTTTGAGTTAATATACTGTAACTAAAATAAGATCATAATAGATTTTTTAGAGTAATAGAGAGTAGGTTTCTCTTTGTTCTATGTCCAAATAAAGTATGATTGAGTCAGTAGGGTCATAGGCTGTAATTGCTCTGGCTTTTCTATCTTGGTATAGATATTTAATAAAGTTAAGTCCAGATTGGAGAATGCCAATATGTTTGCAACCATCTAGTAGATGTTTAATATTAATTTTATCAAAAGCTTTGAACATGTCTTGGAAGAGTATCTATGCTTCTTTTTGCTAGTTTTGTAATGTTCTATTGTGTTAATTAATATTTGTATAGAAATGCATATAGAACTGTTTTTGGTTGCTGCAAAATTAAGATTATTTAGTAGGTGATGTTGATTAATAATTTGATCAAACCATGTAGTAAAAATTTTTGTAAACCATTTTTTGATAGATTCAATAAGAGAAATTGGTCAGACTTGATCTAAAGTAAAGCCCTATATAGATTTTTTAGGTATTAGAAAAATGTTAGATGTTTTCTATATTGTTGGTATTTGTTATAATAAAAAACATTTTGTTAGAAATAGTCAAATAATATTTTGGGCTTTGGAGTTTAGGTATTTTAAATGTTCATAATTTGTTTCTAATAGGCTTGCAGCTTTTTGGTTTAAAAAGTCATGTATGATTTTGTTCTATTTCTCTTAAATGATTTTTAAAAATAGGTTGTTAAAAAGAGGTTTATTTTTTGGATGAGGTTTGTAGAGTTTATAGAATTTTGAGTTTTCTTCTATTGGTGTATATAGTAGTTTTTTAAAGTAATCTTAAAAGTGAGATTGTAAGGCTTTGTTTTATTTTAGATAGTTAAATAATAAGTGTATTGTTAGATAATAGACAGCTAAGTTAATACTATTATTTGGTTTTTCTAAAACATTTTAAAAGAAAATTTTTGGGTTTTAATAAAAGTTGATGTTTCTTTCTTTCAGTTGTTTTGAATTTCTTTTAGAGTATTTTCTTGTTTTCTTTATAGATTTGTATTTTAAGGGTTTTTATTTTTATAATAAGTAAGTTGTAATAATGTAGTATAGTTAGGGTTATTTGTAGTTTGTGTCGAGTGTAAGGATGATAGCAAGGTGTTTATAAATATTTTTTAATGTATAGGTTGTATGTTTGTAAAAAGTTAGGTTTATTAAAAGATGATTTGAGTAAAATTGCCTGTTTTAGTTATTTGTATAGTGGTGAAAGAGAGAATGGTTGCTGTTTATTATGGTATAGGTTTATTTTGATTCTTTTAAATAGAATATGTTTTTGGACTGCTTTAGTTAGAGCCTTGTTAATTTTATTTCAAATATTGTTAAGTTCTAAGTTATGAGTAATATTGATAATGATTGTAAGAAGTTGTTGAAGATTTTGTTTAGTATGACTCTAGTAGTTTTCAATTTGTTCATCTTATATAAGTTTTTATTGATAGATAGTTCTTAATTGCAGTTGTTGTATATTAATTTTAGGTATATTAATTGCAAGTTTAAGTAACACTATTGAGTGATTATTTGTGATAAATAGATTCAGTAAAATGTTAGCATAGTCTAAAAGTGTGATATGAATATTAGTCTATATTTGGTTAATTCTACTATGACTATTATTGTATGTATAGGAGAATGTGAATGTTAATAGGAAAAAGAGCCTGTAGGTGTCATAAAATTGGAGAGATTTGAGTATTCTTAAAAGAGAATGTTTAGATATAGCTAAGCTTTTTTGTAGTAGTCTATCTAGTTTAGGATTTGGGACTTTATTTAGGTCTCCCATTAGAATTATTTTATAATTTGTTTTATTAAAAATAGGAGTAAGATATTGAAAAATGTCTTTTCAGAGTTGTTTTTTTTCTTGAGTTGGAAAGTAAAGTTGGATTAGTTTGATATAAAGGTTTTTAAGAAATATATCTATTTCTAGAAGAAAGCTTTTGTATGTTTGTATTTTTCCAATATGCTTTGCTAGTAATTTGTGAATTAATATTTCTACACCACCCTGATGAGCATTACTTGGTGTTCAAAAGCATTTGTAGTTTATAAGTTTTTGTAAGAGTATTGAGAACTTTACTTCTTTGCTAGATAAATATGTTTCTGAAATTCTGAAAATATCAATTTGATTTTCTGAAATAAAATCAATTAGACTCAGTTATTTGAAGTTATCAAGAAGACCATTAATATTTAGTGAATGTATTTTGATTAATTTTATAATATTTGGATTTTCAAAAGATAAAATATTGTTGTTTATATGTGTTATAATAGAAGGAGATTTAGGAGGTATTGGTGTTTGGATAGAAAACAGTTTTGATATTTTGAGAGAGAAGGTATTTTGTATTTTGTTGGAGTATAATTTGTTTTGAAAAGAATATTTTAAAAGTTTATAAGATTTTTAAAAGAAATATTAGTAAAGTTGAGTAGAGGATTAGTTTTTTTGTAGAAGGTGAATATGTGCTTCTTCGAATGTATTGTTTTTAGATCTTTTAATAGAAATTTTTATATATTGTTCTGAATAGTATTTTGGATATTCATTTTGAATAAATTTTAGAAATAAGCTTATTGATTGATTGTAATGAAGGCAGAAGTTGTAGGTTATAAAAGGAAAGAAATTTGTTAAAGCATTTTAAGGAATTGTATATTTTTGAAAGGTTAGAAATTTGGATGAAAGTTTTTCCTTTAATAGTTTTAGTAGTTGGTGAGTTGATAGTATTATTTGAATCTTCTGTTGATGATTTATAGTGAACATTAGTAGTTTTAAAATTTTTAGAGTATTGATAAAAATGTTGGGTATTTGTGATTTTTGAGAAGTTGATGTAAAAAATTTTTTGAAAGAGAATTTTTAGAAAGATGTAATAAGTTGTTATCTAAGAAGTTGGATTTTTCTTCTATAGATGTGCTCACTGTGTTCTCAGTTTTCACAATTGCAGAGTATACTATAGTCTGCTCCATATATTGAGTTTGACCATCATTAACTTGGTCCTTTACATAAATAGGCTTTTCTGCCCACCTACTTACATTATTCTCTTCCAAAAATGGCACACTTTTAGTGATGGACATTATTATTTTGGAAGTGGCAGCTATATTAATATTATTTATAAAAAGATTTATTGAAAAAATGAATTAAAGGTAGCAGTTAAGGATAGGATAAGAGTGTCATCATATATAGAAGGAATTTTAATATGATAATGTTTAATAATAAATTTTTTTGCTTCTAAATGATATTTTTAATCATAACCAAGTTGAATTTGCATAATAGAGAATTTAGGTTGGTTTTGAGTATGAAAATAAAGAATTATATGTGCTAAGATATATGGATTAATAGTAGGTGAAATGAATTTTTCTAAAGCTTAATTAAGTTCAAGACCTGTAATACTGTCATTTATAGCTGTAGTATTAAAGTAAGCTTTGAAATAAGAATAAAGATAGAATGTAGTACATTTAGAATTAGTTTCTGTAGTGTTGATTTCTGCAAACTTTTGGTCTGCTTTAAGTGCAAGTTCATTTAATGTATGAAGTAAAATAGTTTTTTTAAAAGTTGCTGTATATTGTTGATCTGGTAGAAAAATTAAGTAGTCAGAAGTAAAGAGTGTTGTTTTATGAGTAGAATAATAATAATAATAATAATAATAAATATATATATATATATATTTATATTAAATTTTGTTAATAATAAACCTGTTAATAAAAATTTACTAAGAATTATTAAGACAACAGAAAAAACAAAAGCTTTAAAAGCATTTAATAATAATCTTAGAATGCATTCTTCTATAATAGAAAATATATATACTTCTTAAAAAAAAATTAAAGATACTTTGTATTTATTAATAATTCAAGATAGTTTACATTATGTTAATAAAAATTTGACAAAAAAATCTGGAAATAATATAGTTAAAGATAAAAGAATCAAAGCATTTAAAACTAAACTTAGTGAAATACTTTTATTTCTTAATAGTTTAAACATATTTCAAAAAAAAAACCTTTACATAAACTTTTAAATAAAAATAAAACTAGTACCAATATTAGTAATAAATAAATTAAATTAGAACCTAAAGCATAATTTTTATTATTCATATATTTTTATTAAATAAATGAGATTTTATTAAAATCATCCTAACTGATTTGTTAAAACAACATTTTATTATGTGAAATATAGTTGTTTGTCATACAATATATATCTATTTTGACATATGCAGATACTAATGCATAAAGTAGTTAATGCATATAACAATGAAAGTAATAAAATAAATAAAAAAACTGATCATAACGTGATCAATCTTTTTTCTGGTTATGCAATTACCTAATAAAGGCTGTTTGATGCTTGTCTCGTGAATCAGTAGATAAAAACAATAAAACGGGTTAGACACGTCACTACAAATAATAGAGAAATATATATAAAAAAGTCATACCTTGAACCAATATTGAGTAAAAAGTCAAGCCTCAAAGCGAATACAGAGTAAAACATGTTAGTTTTTTTATTCATGTATATTTTAGTTCTCTACTAATCCTTTTCTTTTTATGTCTTCACTCAAAATTTAGATATGTCACATGAGAGGAATAGAAGAGTAGTATTACAAAAGTCATACTTCCAAGTCAACATATAGCCAACAGCACTATTTAGCTGCATTAGTATGTATGCCTTTTTATATCGGGGAAGAGTTGGGTATTTTTAATTTTTTTATATTTCTGACTTCTATTTTACGTAGGTTAGTAATAGCAAGGCTGTTTACATTATATTTAAAAACTCAGAACTATACCATAGATACTATATAGATAATGGAACTGTCTAATACTGGCAACAAGATTATTGACCATAACAAAGCTTATGAAGATCAAAAAAATATTTTGCCTCATGAAGAATGTTGTAATGATGTTCAGGAAAGTATTTCGTCTTGTGCAGGAATAGTCAAAAGAAGACCACTTGAGATGCTTTCAATACCTGATGATGTTTTTAGGCAGGTGCAGGAATTATGTGTTGAAATGATATTTGAAAATTAGAATTATGCATATTTGGTATTGTTAGCATATGGACAGCAGACTGGTTTTGTTTGGCAAATTCAGAACAAAAAGCTAAATAAGACTAGTGGTATGTATAAGTATGTTTTCGAATATCAGCATGCAGGAAAATTTTAATCCAAAAAAACAGCTGTTGATCCTTCAAAACAGCGTAACATAGAATCAGTCAAAATGGCATGTACATGTTTTATTAATATGTCCTGGCCACTTAAATCATCAAATCCAAGTATTACCAAAATGAATCTAGAACATCATGGTCATGTACTTAATCCTGGAAAGATTCATTTTGCAAATGTTTATCGACAGCTTTCTCAGAATATCATGAACAAAATCAAATTTTATGTAAACACTATTCATGATATTAACCAACATATGGTGAGACAACTTCTTAGTGGTGAATTCAAAAAACAATTATTTTTAGATAAGGATTTGGTGAATATTATTCAGCAATTTCAAAGGAATAACGCAATAAATCCTGAGCAAGACCCTGAAAATGATGCTTCAAATCTTCTTAAAGAATTACAATAAATGAAAGAGAATGATCCTACATAGTTTATAACTTATTATTGTGTCAAAAATCATCTTTTTCATTTGTTTTGGATGACTCCTAATCAACAAAACTTGTACTTAAAGTATCATGCTGTTATTTTAACAGATAATACAGCTCGAACAAACAAATATCGCATGGCATTATGTCTATTTGTAGGTGTTGATTAACATCGCTATTTAAGATTAGTAGCTCAAACCCTAATGTCTGATGAAACTACTTTATCTTATATATGGGTTCTTAAAAATCTTTTAGCAGCTACAAACAATCTACCACCTGCAACTATATATTCCGACTATGATACTGGATTAGAGCCAGCATTTAATCCATCCTACCAAATACACGATATTTACATTGCATCTTTCACATAGTTCAAAATATTAAAAAACACTTGATGCGTCCTTTTGGTTCCTGATTTGCTACTTTTCAAACTGACTTTTTTGTCTGCTGCAATACTTTATTTGAAGAAATTTTCGAATCTTGATTCGATTCATTATGTACAAAATATCCAGAAGCTTCATCATATTTGCAGAACATTTTATACCTGATTAAAAAAAATGGGCTAAGTGTTATACTTTCAGATAATTAAGATTTAAACTATGATGTGATAACATCAGGAGAAAACCAGACTTTGAATATACAAATTTATATGATCAAAGTTTGATTTTCCATTAGTGTCATATAATAGAGCTATGTATAGATTCAGGTTATAATTGATATATAAAAAATTTTTTTTTAGGAGTTTAATGCTGGAATGTCTTCAACTCAAAGAGTTAATTCCATTAATAGCATTATTTATAAATATGTCAACTCACATTCAACATTAATGGATTGTTTTAACAGTATACAACAAATGCTCTCATCTGAGCTTCAAAAGGCTGAGTATCATGATTATTTGGAAAACTTGCCTTTCACTGTTAGTTCTTCGTAAGCTATTCATGTTTTCCCCGATATAGTTGAACTTCTAAAATCAGCCTTAACAGATAAAATTTTTTGGATTTAAAACACTCAGGTTGACATCTGTTTCGAATATTATTCAAACCTGATTTCCCCAGATCAATATGATATATGTAATGAAGTAAGTTAGAATTCGTTATTTAATATGAATAGCCTAATAGTTGTTCTATACTAATATTTAACCTTTTTTAAAGGTCAATGATTCTGATGCTTCTAAATGTCTAGAAGATTTTACTGACAGATGCCTAATCATGCTTAACTCACATGTTAATCGTGCTAGTCTTGCTAATATTTTGGAAATCTAGGAAGACAAACACATGGTGTCAAACACAACATTACTTAATTACATAGCAATACTCAAGATAATTTGCATGTTTGTACATGTTTACTTTTAATCAGTGAAGGATTGGTTTGCTGTCACTTTTTTCAAGTAATGCTACAAACAAAATCAGCAAAATTTAGCATTACTTTAATAAAGAGTCAATGGTACAAAAGCAATATAGCCTTAGATGAGATTGACACTATATTTGACTCTGTTGGAAGGTGTACTGATGCCACTAATACAAGAATTGAAAGCTTAGCTTTAAATTCTATATGTAATATTTAGAGTTCAAGACAAGACCATTCTGAAATTGAATGTTCAATTGTGATGTGACAGATTTATATGAATATGCCACTTTAGGGTGTAAATTAGCATCATTGGCGGCCGAATTTCACTTAACGCATGTTACTGCCATATTACAAGGTTTCATTCAACAAATAAAACAATTAAACTCCAACTCTAACTCTGTGAATAACCAAATTCAAGATGTAATCCATAATCCCTTACAAGCTAATTCAAGAGGAAGGCCAACGAAATGATTAAAAGCATCTGTAGAAAAATTTTCAAAAAATTCTAAAAAAGCTGCAAGTATCAATGCTCATTCTGGAGATGGATATACATGCTGCAATTGTCTCAATGAAGAACATAATGCTAGAAGTTGAAATGCATTATGCAAAATTTGTAACAAGACCAGTCATACATATTTACATTGTCAAAACATTTAATTTGCTTGTTAGTATTAGATTAATTGCAATGGCTAATCAAATTTATTGTAATCATCACTACTGATCAAATTTATTGTTATCATTGCTACTAATCAAATTTGTACAATTTTTTTAGTTTGTTTCATTTAATTCATACGTACTAACAAATTTTTTTTTAAAGGCAGTAATATATGTTTGTAAATCAAGATTTAGGCAGTATACTATATTCATTTGTGCAGATAGCTTTAATCAGTTATCTAGGTAGTATAGTAAGTTTTTTTTAATAATTAGGATTAGGTTTGCCACTAGTATTTAGGATTAGAGCATGCATGAACATAGCTGTTTTTTATAGTTAATATAGTTATAGCTATATACTATATGAGGCCCATAGCTTTTCTTTATAGTAAATTTTTTTCTGATTAGGATTAGGGTTAGCACTAGTATTTAGGATTAGGGAGTGCATGAACATAGCTGTTTTTATGGTTAGGATGGTTATAATTATATTCCATACGAGGTTCATAGCTTTTCTTTTGAGTTGTTTGATCTATTGAACTACTATTTATAGATTGTACATATGTAAGATTGTTTTTCACACCCAATACAGCATATAGTTATGATTCACAATATCAGATATGGTCGTGCGTACACATCTATATATATACTACTCTGAGATTACCCCTAAAATATTGATTCTAATGTTGCACATTGTAATTATTATATTTGTATATTTGTAACATACTATGTGCACTAATATATAAAATTATATAGTATTTTATATTTATTTTATATATAAAATATAATATATATTATAGGGATGTTTTTTAATAAAATCATCCAGGCTGGTGGTTAGTAATTTTCTAAATAAATATATTATTTTTTTAAAAATAAAATAGTATTTAAAATATTAAAATTTTGATTTGAAGTATTATTTAATAATTTTTTCAAATTAGTCATATCAAATATGTCATTTATTTTATTTGTTTCTATTATATAATTATCATTATTGTTGTTTTTTTTAACTTTGGCTAAATATTTATCTTTATGATTAGCTAATTCAGGTTCATATTGTAAATTATTTTAATTATAATTTGAGACTAATAAACATGTGTTTAATTTCTTTACTATATTTAATATCATTGCTATAATTTTATCATTTTTATTTAATTAGATTTTATTATTAATATTATTTAAAATATTACCAACAATATCTGTTGATACTGTTATAATTGCCTTATTTATTTGGTTTACAATTATTTCTCTTAGTGAACAAAAAGCTTTTGTTTATAAATCTTAGAAACATTTTAATTACTCTTATAGATTCTATTGAAAAAACTCTGTATAGTCTTTAAAGTTATTTCAGATTCATAAATTATAAATATCAAATTTTTTGTTTTTGAGTACTTTTCAGAAATGTTTACTTTATTATTTATAATAAACAACTTATATTAAACTGAGTAATTTGTTTTACAATTGTAAGCAACCATGTATAATAAGAGGTTATCAAAAATCTTTAATATAATAATTCAAAGTTTTTTTTTTTTTTTTTTTAATGTTAAAGTTCTTATCTTCATAATGTAATATTTTTATTCAAGTATATAAGACATAGCATGTTACTAGAGACTACCTTACATTGGAGGTTATAACTAGCCACATGTGCACTTTTGGTGCCTAATTTAAGTAGTCTGCTTATATATTACTATATAAGTTCTATACTAGATGCCATATCTGCAAGCCAACTAGAAGTCTTGCCTATTTAAACCCTCTGCATATGCAATTCTCCTGTATTATGAGAACATTTTCAAGACTACACCTATTTAAGTTCTTAATGCTAGTTAGTGCTCTTAGAACTACTTTATCTTTAACAAAAAACTTACTAAAGCCTATATGTTCTACATATACTGATCTAGTTTTATGCAATATGCTATAGTTATTTAACACTTATAGTCAAAGGAGTTACCTGTTTAACTACTTCATTACACTATTTTTACTATTGTAAAGTTTACTAGAACTTCAGTATCTATCTTTCTGGCATCTTTTTTATCATCTTTTACTAACTGCAACTCAGAACTGGCAGTTTTTTTTAGACTATCAATTTAGATAGCCCAGTATGATATACTTCTATATTCTTTTTCTCTGGTGAGTTTGGCAGCCTGATTAGTTATATGTTTCTTTCACATATTTGATGTTCAGTTTAACTTTTGGTTCTTATGAAGGTGTTTTATAGGCTTCAACTAGTCTAATAGTACTATCAAAAGTTCATGCTACCTCTTTACTCAGGAATTTTCAAATAGGTTTCTATCATCTTAGTTCTTTAGTCTTCTAGGCCTAGAGGCTTATCATGGGTTAGCACTGAAGTCTTATACAACATCAGTTATATATTACTTTATGTACATGTAATATTATATTTTATATAAATATGCTGAGCTCTCAATGTCAATAGAACTGACTTGGT